CCTTTCTCTCTTGACTTTCCAACAAACCGATTCTTTACTACATTCTTATTTTTAATACATTGTTATTTTTATCTCGCAAGGATATCGCTATCGAAGGTAACTTTAATGTCACAATAGTTATAGAAAAAGAATTGATAAAAATTCGGAATTTGTCTGCGCGTTTATTTCGTGTTCGCGATCGCACAGAACCGTTGCTTATTCAGGCCGATGCTTTCCGTCAATGTAAGTAATTTTCTTCAGCTGGAAAATGCACTCTCGCTATAGTTTCTTCTTTTCGAATTTCATGCGAAATTTTGACGAACGAAATTCACTTGGAAATAATAACACAACTTTTCTCCGACTAGTAATCTAGGATTTACCCATTCCCTCGAATCGACGAAAAACCGTGCGACTAACGCAGCCTTCGTGCACGACTTAAAAAAGAGAACAAAGGGGGATGGTAAGGTGGTGATTAGAGAGAATTTTTGGTTTGTAAAATCGCAATTGCAGCACGTGCGTCAGTCGGTGTCCACCGAGGAGCTTCCCGAATCAAGGTGGCGTCTGTTGGCCTTGCCATGAATCCTGCGAAATCTGTGCCGGCGCTGGCCAGGATTCCTGTCTCTCCTGCGCACCTGCTCACCTTCGAGTCACTGACCTAGCCGTGTGTCTTCAGCAGTGCCCCGAAGGATATTACGAGAGTAAGCACTCTGTATTTTACCGTATGTATTTTACTGTATGAATTCCAAGTGTGGAGAACGCTTGCAACACTTTCAACTCGCAGCATTGAACGCATCTCTCGCGTGTTCTCAATATTGAAGAATATATTTATATCGTCGAAGCAAAAGTTAACGGACACGGATATTATTTATTCCCACAGACACGGAGAACAGTACGTGCGTGCCGTGCGAGGCGAATTGCGCCAGTTGCCAAGACAGGCCGGACAAATGCACCAGTTGCGAGCATCACCTGGTCATGTACGAAAACAAGTGTTACGCAGCGTGTCCCCTGCGCACATACGAGACGCAAGATTACAACTGCGCGCCGTGTCATTCTACCTGCGAGACCTGCAACGGCACCGCCGACAACCAATGCATCTCCTGTCGACCCGGATTGTTTTCTCTGAACGGTACGTAGCTGTCCGGGGACGTGTTAATCCTTAAAAACGACAGCCGGGCGCAACCGATAACCCAGATACCTATTTCTCTTGGTAACTGGCTGTCCTGGTAAGAGGCTCAGTGTTTCGAATAAATCATGCTTTTTTAAATTTCGTTTTTTTTTCTTTTTTTTTTTTTTTATGAAGAGCGATCACTTATCGCGAATTTATTGTCATCGCCCTCGTCTCCATCGAGATCGGAGATACGACAGATACTTAGCTACTGATCTTTCGTTGTGGATAGAATGAACACATCTGTCAAGTCGAGTCAATTCGAAACGAATCGTCGACAAATTTCAGGAACTTGTCGAGCGTCGTGTCCGCTCGGTTACGGGGCCGACAAGAAGCGCCGAGAATGCGTCCGATGTCCGCCCGGATGTGCTACTTGCGCCATGTCGACGTGCACGAGTTGCGAGGACGGCTGGAGCTTGAACGACGAAGGCCTCTGCGCTCCCGAGCATCGTGATCGTTGCGACACTTCCGAATATTACGAGAACGGCCACTGCAAGCAGTGCCACACCTCGTGCAAAACCTGCGCCGGATCTGGAGAGGATCGCTGCATTTCCTGTCAAACGTCGCTACTCTTGCAAGGGAAACGATGCGTGTATCAGTGCGACGACGGTTATTATTCGATGGCGCAGCCATCTAGGCCCGTCTGTGTACCTTGTTTGCATACTTGTAAAACGTGCGTGTCTCGACTGAACTGCACCGCCTGTCAAGATGGATTGCAACTGCAGAGCGGCGAGTGCAGATCCTCGTGCGCTCAGGGGTGAGTTTCAGCCTCGGAGATTAAATTAAGTATTCTTCTCTCCTGTTTCTTTGCTATTAGAAATTGGGGTTGGAAATTGAGAGATGAAACTCGAACAGTCCCTCAATAATTTATCCTTGTCCTTTTCGAAATTATAATTCGAACGAAAACGTTCCGTGCCATGTGTACCACCGGTGGTACACGCAGTCATATTTATTTGATTTATTTATTTTTTTGCAATCGAATGCCACTGATCGCAGCGCCACGTGTACCACAAGTGGTACACGATGTGATAATTACTCTAAACAAGAGAACTACTTATCGATTGATGATGTGAATGAAAGATTGTGTGATAATATATCAACATATCTTTCAATTTCAGTCAAAATATCAAATAGCTTGGCACGAAACGTGTTAACCAGGATCTGATTATATATATGTATATGTCTCCTAGTCGTCTACCTTTTACCGATTCTAAATGATAAACGAACAAAGAAATCTTGCTTCCACGCAGATATTACAGCGATCGAGGTCAGTGCGCGAAATGCTACCTCTCGTGCAAAACGTGTTCCGGGCCGAGGAGGGATCAATGCGTGACTTGTCCCCGTGGTTGGCAACTAGCTGCCGGCGAGTGTCACCCGGAGTGTCCCGAAGGATTCTTCAAATCCAGCTTCGGCTGCCAGAAGTGTCACCATTACTGTCGCACGTGCAAAGGTACGTCAAAAAGAAAGAATCACGCGTGTCCTCGATTGATAAAGCGTAACTCTCTCGCGAGAGAGTACAGCGTGAATTATATTTGAAACGAATTTGTACGAATTATTTGAAACTCACAGGCGTGAATCTTTTGCAATTTCATTTCTTTCGATTGAAATATCTGCCGATATCTCTGCGTAAAAGTGAGAGAGAGAGAGAGAGAGAGAGAGAGAATTGACACGTGAATGCGTTGCAGGAGAAGGACCGATGGAATGTACTTCTTGCCCACCCCACTCGATGCTGGAGGGCGGCCTCTGCATGGAATGTCTTGGGGCGCAATACTACGATCCTCTGACGCAGCTCTGTAAAAATTGCCACCCCGATTGCAGAAGGTGCACTGGCCCAGGGAAATTTAGTTGCGCGGCTTGTTCACCGCCGTTGCATCTCGACAAATTGAACAACCAATGTGTACCTTGTTGTACGGGCAACGAGAAAGGGGCATTGGCTGAAGAGTGCTGCCTCTGTGATCCAGAAACTGGTGAGTAGTATATTTAATTGAAGCAATCTTCGTCAGTGACGAGAGTTTGTACGAATTTCTTCGGTTTGAAAAATCTGTTTGAAATAATTCAAAAGAATTCCTCCTTTCAAATTGTCTCGTAGAATTTTACTTGATCAGGTAGTTAAATGTTTTTCTTTTTTATTCTTCTTCTTCTTTTCTTTTTCTTAACGATGATATAGGTGGCTGCAGGAACAGCTCGCCAGCTGGCAAAAGAAGAGTGCCAGGAACAGAGTTCGTCCCGGCTGACACAGCCATTTCTGAAGTATATGCAAACTACGAGGGGACAACCGATAAAAACGATTCAGCTTCGTTGGCGATAACAGCGACCACAACCATAGCTGTCGCCATTTGTCTCATATCTGTTGCTCTGTTCGCTACTATATTCATCGTTCTTCAGGTATGCATCCGATTTCGCGTATGATTATTTAATATTCGATAATGTCCACAAAAAATGTGGAATCTAGATTCGTGATTATTTTGAAATTATCCATTACATTCATGTATATCATGCTTCGTATTATTTCTTGAAATTAATTGCATTTTTTTTTTTTTTTTTTT